AGAGAGAGAGAGAGAGAGAGAGAGAGAGAGAGAGAGAGAGAGAGGTTGAATGGCAAAATTGAAATATGGGTCAAATTGCGGCCGCAATCTATTTCGCAGTTGGAATGATTTTTTTAAATTTATGTAGCGTTTGTCATGGAAAGATCATAACAAAATTTACGAGTACTCCAATTTTCTGAGTGCGAAAACTCACTGAATTTGGAGTACTTTTTAGTTCACCCAGGCATGGCTGAGTGGCAAAAATGAAAAATGCTGAATCGGCGCGACAATTATTTCGCAGTCTAAATGATTTTTTGTAAATTTTCTATTATTATTTCTGGAAATAACACGACCTCATCTATGGATTCTCAAAATTTCAGATTTTTGTGCATGTTCGTCTGAGCACAGAAAATCGTCAAAGTTGCCTCTTGCAAAACGCCTGTTTTGTTGTGCCTGACCTCCCTGTTTTGAGAAGACGGGGCTCAACGCCTGGGCCTGAGGGCCCTTTTGCASATCACATGCCCTCACTTCTTTTGGGGGTCCGCTTCTACCCGAGGACCGGTCCAATGCCCCCACTTCTTTTTGGGGTCCACTTCCACCCGAGGACCGGTCTTTCGTTTTTCCAAAAGTCCCAGTTCTACCAGAGCTAGCTGTAGGTAGTCCGCAATTTTGCCAAGGACCGGTCCCCCAAATTTTTTTGCCCCCGAAAAACCCACTTGCATCCTGGTCGCCCGCCGCCAAAAATGCGACACCTTGACACAGACGCCGAAGCCCACTATACCGCAGCCTAAGGGCTGCAAACAGATCATGCTTGTACGAACTGAGCTACCGGTAGGCCCGTCGGCCCGTTGGTGTGCGACCCGCGGTCGGTTTTCGGAACTGTCGACAAATTCTGAGGGCTGCTACTGGGCGGGCGACGGCGCCGCGCGCATTTGCACAAACGTGAAAATTTTGAAATTTGAACTGGGTTTATTTTGCGCGCGGCTTGCGGTGGTCTGCGGGGCACAGTCCCGTTTGTTTGTTGTCCTTCAGAAATACAGTAGATTAGCGTGGATGACACGCATAGATCGAGAAATAATCCAATGTTTGTTTTTTGCAATCCCGTTTGTTTCTTGTGTCACGAGGAAGCCCGACAGCGACACTCTGGAAAGCTGAGCGACGCTATGGCAGATGCCAGGTGAGTGGTGAGGAGACATGAGGGATGGCGATAGGGAGAACCTAACCTCTGCAAACTTGTGCGGAATGTGGGCAGATGATAGGCACGTGGCAAGGGGAGAGAGCAGTGCTGTGGAGACGTGAGGGATGTTGATGGAGAGAACAGGAAACCTCTTTTTCTGCAATCGATGGAGTTCAATGTGCGCCATGTTCTCAGGACGGGTAAGAAGCAAGGCAGGGGCGCCATCGCCAAGAGTATAACGTTGCTTGTCATACGCGAAGGCTGAAGAGGAGAGGACGCAGCGTGATTTGTCCTCACCTTCGCCCGATTGCTCAACTCACTCACAGGGGTGGGAGTGCAGGGGCAAGTGCAGCCAAGCAAATGTCAAGGAAACGAACTACGGGTAGTAGAGGAGCTGACGATACACATCGGCCGCCACAGCCAACTGTCGGTGCGAACGAGTGGAGAGAAGGGGTAGGATAGGGCAAAAAGTAGGGGCGACGGGCAAAGTGGGAAGAAGAGCGACGCAGGAAACGATAGCAGGGAAAGGTGATTGCCGCCGGATCCGCGCAGCTGAGTTGCGGTCGTTAGCGGGGAGAGGAGGCGATGGCAGACGACGATCAGTTCCTGCAGTTTTGTGATGTCATCGAGAGAGTATGTCACGAGATATCGGCAACGGATGTCTCCTCTTCCCTCCGGTGCTCCCCATCTGCCCTACCCGATGATACTCTTGCTGAATTGCACGAGATCTTCTCTCGTGTGCCTGGCCCTCATCTGCGGTCTGTGGGTTCTCAGAGCTGCCGCCATAGCCAAAGCTTGGGGGGAGGCTGCACTGCCCGCGTATCGCGGATACCGGATGGGAGACTGTGGGCAGAGGTGGCTTCTCGCGGCGTACGTGTCACGCAGCTTGTGAAAGCTCTTTCCGCAACCTTGGACAGTGCGTTGTCAGGCGAGGGGGTTGGAGGGAGCTCATCAGCAAAGGGAGGTAGGCGATGGCGAGGGGCACTGCTTGCAGGGTCGATCTATCTTGGCATGCTTCTGTCTCCCGAATGTCCCATCTACAGTATATTCGATTCTTTGACCTTCTCGCATATTTTGAGCTACATCCGCCATCGCTGCCGTGCAAGCGGGGAAGCTGACGCAATCGGAAGCCCAGAAGGAGGAGGAGGGAACGGCGACGAGGCACAGAAGAAGAAGGAAGGAAGCGGAAGGCCCCAGGGAAATGGGAAGAAGAAGGGAGGAGGGGGACGTGGGAGAGGCGCCCTCCGCAGAGGAAAAGTGCCGAATGGGGAAGATAGCGATGATGACGATGATTTTAATCTCGGCGACATGGCTGGCGACGCTGCGTCGTCGCCGGGGTGTCCAGAGACGCGCGTCGATTTCTCGTCGGCCGTCCTGGACTTGCTGGAAGATACCCGATGCCTCTTAGACATCCTCTCTTTGAAGGAGAGGAGCGATACGCTGAGGGCCGTCGTCGAGTCCGTGATTGAAATATCCCGCTTTTCCTTACCTGGTGGGGATGGCTTGGGAACACGGGGAGGGAGTGGTCCTCAAGGTGCTGCTAGGGTGCAGCAGGCTGCCCGCTCCGCGCGGGCTCTTCCCTCCCGCTCTTTGCAGAGTCTCACGTATTCCATCCTGCTGCGACTGATCACAGACCTTCACGGGAGCGTTCGCGAAAATTCCTGCTTTATCCTCTGGGCGCTTACGCCGAACTTACTGCTGACTTACAAGGAGGGAAACCTGGAACGCAACGCTGTCAGATCAAGAGCTATGGAGTTCGTTATCAAGGAGGTCTTGCAAGCAGGCTCGTCACAGGCTCGGTGCTCCGTGCCACTGTTGGCTCAGTACCTGTGTCTGAAGGCCCCGGAGCGGGCGGAGTTGCGGATGTTGGCCGTACAATGCATAGTGGAGGTGGTAAAGAGCTTGGGAAGGCAAGGTTGGGGCGACTTCGGGAGGTTTCTGTGGCGGTTATCACACAATGAGAAGCCCTCTCTCCGTCTCCTAGCCGTTGATCTATCACTCGAGCTTTTAATAAAGCTTCCTGACCCTATGGGGGTGAAGGAAGAGAGGAGCGAAGAGGAGGTGGAAGACAAAGAGGTAGAGGAGGAAGGGAAGGAGAAAGACGGAGGGGAGGAGAAAGAGAAGCAGCGGGACGAGAAGGAAGAAGGGAAGGAGGAGGAAGCGCGACAGTCGGACGCTGAAGAGGGGAGGGAGAGAGGGGACGGCGATGGCGCGAGCAGCCCTTCGGTTTCGTGTGCGGAAGAAAGGGAGAAGAAGCGGTGTGAAAAAGACAAGAGAAAGACTGACAGAAGGTGGGCTTTCCGCTGCTTGGAAATCTTGGTGTCACGTGGCTCGGACAAGGCGCCTGGGATTCGTGGTAAATCCCTGACGAATCTCGCCGTCGCTGTCGGAGAGATTTGTAAGGATGAAGAATCGAGGAGCTTGTTGCTGCCTGCGTTCGGACTTGCGAGCCCTTCTGTTGGGCAGAGGAGGGGAGAGGAGAAGGAAGACGGCCTGCAGCCGAGACGCCGAAGGCGCAGCGGGAAAGCAGATATGACTGAAGACGAGAGCTCATCCGCTGCAGAACAAACAGAGGAGGCAGCTCCTCAGACCGAAAGGCCGACTCTGAGTCCGGAAGCGCGGAACCTGGAGAAGCTGGTTCGGTGCAGGTCCCGGGACGACAAACCCGTAGTCAGAAAAGCCGCCCTTGCGCTGATGGAGAGACTAGCGAGGCTCATGGGACGGCCACCAGATGCTGAGGACCTATGCGCGCTGGGCTCCGCCTGCGCCGATGCAATGGTCAGCGTCCGAAAGTCGGCTATGGCAGCCCTTTCAGAGGTAAGCAACCCATACTTAAATTGCATAAGAGCTTATACTCCGTGTGTTTGTGTGTGTGTGTGTGTGTGTGTGTGTGTG